CCCTAGAAGTGAAATGCCCATTCTTTTTGCAGAAGCCTCATACCAACATCCCAGCTAGATACTACTTATAATTTCAAGCTGAGATGGCAGCCCTGTCTACTGATAGTTGTATTTTTGTGTCATTTCATGCGGAAATAACCAGGATTTTTGAGATTGCAGAGGTACTTAGGGGTTGCCCCGCCTTGCGGAAAGCAGACTACTATGCTTTTGGTGTCATGCTGTTTGAATTAATAGAGGGAAGGTAAGATAGACAAAGTGTACCTGCAGTTATGACTAAATTTAGAGGTACTTAGGGGTACTTAGGGGTTGCCCTGTCTTGCGAAAAGCAGATTACTATGCTTTTGGTGTCATGCTATTTGTATGTTTAACCCCATATATGCATATATGCGGTTCAATTATCGTATACCCCAAACGCCCAGAACCGCATATGTGCGTATCTTGGAAATATTTCTCTTTTTGCTCTCCAGTGTAGAGAGTCACGAAAAAAGACATAGCTGAACATCCGGGTACGTTTCTTGTCTCTTTAATTACGCCATTTTGTGGAAAGTTTAAAGATAGAAAAAGTGAGAAAATTCTGATTTTGTAGAGGCTTGTTGACAAACTCGAGAGAAAATGGCGGCGCTACGTCACCGCAGAGGCCTCCGTGTTGACAGTGTTCTAGAAATGATTCAAAATTCGGACTTTGAGGATGACTTTTCCAGTGAAAGTGATTTAGAAAGTGGTGATGATGTCCCGTTAGCCAGAATAAACCAGCGGCGAGCAGATTCCGATGAGGAATTGGACTTGACTCAAGATTTAGGAGAGCAGATCATTGAAGACGAAATTGATCATGAAAATATCGAGTGGAACAACGATATAAATTCAAGGGACAGCAGTAATATCCGCTTTAGAGGGAAACCAGGGCTATCTGAGAATGCCATAGAGGAGTTAGGAGGAAAAGAAAATTTGCCAGTGTCTACGCCAGGTCAGTTATTCGGCCTCCTTTTTACCCACGCCCTCTTAGTCATGATATGTCAGCAGACCAACCTGTATGCCCAACAAGAAAGAGAGGCTTCACCAGGACAGCACAAATGCCAGTGGACAGAAGTGACCCCCAGTGAACTGAAGTCATGGCTTGGAATTATTTTTACGATGGGACTTGTGATAAAGGCTAACCTCAGGGATTATTGGACTTCCAACTGGCTAACTTCTACCTCAGGTTTTCGCAAAGTTATGAGCAGAAACAGATTTTTATCAATTCTCCGTTACATTCATTTTGTTGACAATTCTTCGGCAGTAACTGATAGGAATAACCCCGCTTATGATAAACTATATAAAGTGCGCCCTGTTCTAGACAGAATAGTACAAAAAATAAGAACTGTTTATGCCCCGAAGAGGGAGCTCTCTCTGGACGAGTCAATGGTAGCATGTAAGTCAAGGTGTTCTTTCAAACAATTTATGAGGGATAAACCCATCAGGTGGGGACTGAAATTGTTTATGATATCCGAGTCAGTCACTGGATATGTGTGCAATCTGAAAGTGTACACTGGAAAAGAGAAAGAAGGCAGTGACAATGGTGCAACCCATGATGTTGTCTTGTCAGTCACCTCTCCCTTTTTAAATAAGGGACACCATTTATATATGGACAATTATTACACAAGTGTCCCCGCATTCCAGGAGTTGTTACGACGATCAACCCCCGCTTGCGGCACAGTAAGAGCAAATAGGAAAGGACTCCCAAACACGGTAAATGCAAAGTTTCCTGTGGTAAAAGAACTGAAGAGAGGCGATTCAATTCACATGTACAAAGGATCCCTCACAGCTGTCACTTGGAAAGACAAAAAGACAGTAACCCTACTTACCTCTCTACCTGTTGAGGAGACTTCAGACATAGTGCAAAGATCAGCTAAAGTTTCTGGGAAATGGGAAAAGATAAATGTAACTCGACCCAAAACTGTAACTCTGTACAACACTTACATGGGTGGTGCTGACTTGTCTGATCAACGCATCAATGCCCACAAGCGTATGATGAAAGGTGTGGTGTGGTATTTGAAACTTTTTTGGTTTTTGCTTGATACTGCTAGAGTAAACTCTTACATCCTTTACAAGAAAACGAGTGGAAAATCAATGAAACTGAAAGACTTCACTTGTCACCTAGCTGAAGAACTCATTGGACAAAATGTAAAGGAAGTAACATCAGGCAGACCTCTAGCCACACTTCCCACTTGTGTGCGTTCTAATCGCGATCTCAACCATGCACCAGCTATGTCAGAAGATAGAAAAAGATCTGCTTGTGCTGTTCATTTACAGAGGGTGGACACAATCTACATATGTACTGTCTGCAAGGTCAGGATGTGTCCTGCTCCTTGCTTTTACAGATATCATTACATGGTTGACTATACATAATGACCCTGAGAGATCACAAGCACCTAGAAAGAAAGCTAGGAAATCTTTGTGAAATATTTTATTTATAAGAGAAGGCAGCATTTGTGTTGTGTTGCATTTTGTGTTACATGCAAGGTATGCTCTGATTCTTTTGATATTCCTTTTATAGTTTTTTTTTTTTTTTTTGTCTTGGTGTCTACCAGAAATCATGTAGACCTGTGCAAAATTCGGGTTTCATTGTCTGTTGTGTGTGTTGATAGGATTTTGTTTACTTATATTTCAAGCACATTTGATATGTATATGCTCATTACATTCTGTTGAGGATTAACATTTGAATCGGGGTGCTTTTTTATACTCGCTGTGGTAAGTGTCATACTTTGACCTGAAATCATTTTTTATTCATAATCTACTGAGTGGATTATTTTGATTCTTAGTGTAAATATGTTGCTCTTTTATGTCAGAAATATAAGTTCAATTTTGTAGTTGTAGAATCTTCCATGGTGCTTATATTATTCAGTATTTTGTGTGCAATCTTTTGATATTTCAGCTCCCCAGTTCCAATTTTGAACTGTTTACAGGGATTTTTATACTCAAGTCTACTGTGTGGATGGTTTTGATATGATGAATTTACTGTAAATATGTTTTATTTTTTTATGTCAGAAATATAAGTTTATTTTTGTAGTTGTAGAATCTTCCATGGTACTTATATTATTCAGTATTTTGTGTGCAATATTTGGTTATTTCAAGGAATCTGGTATTTGAGAGTGCAGTATCTGTATAGCATGATATCTCTTTTGTAACACTTTATTTTTAAAAGTTTCTTTTTCATTTTGTACTATTGTATTGTAATTTCTACTGAGGCATATGTCATTTGTCATTTGCTTGTTGAAGTCAGTATAGAAATAAAAATAAATAAAGAGATCAGAATAGAAATAATTGTTTTCTAATTTAATTTGAATTTTTAAATTAAATATTTTAACACATTTTATTAAATTTAATTGATGGAATTGAATAATACAGCTTGCAATTAAAGCAAAAAATATAATGTGAAAGTTGAAAGTTATGTTGTTGTCTAGCAGACAGCATCCAGGTGAAATGGGAAATTCGCTCCAGGCACAGGCACGTGATAAAGTTGTAATTACTCAAAACCCAAAAAAGATATTGCACTGAAATTTTCTGTGTTCAAAGATAACTAATTTATGATTATTAGAGTGAATTTTCTTGTAAAAATATGGAAAAAAGAAAAAAGTTTCGTGCATAGTGAAATGCATTTTTTGATTTTCTTCTGTCGGGCCCAAATATATATCCAATTTTCTAAGGTCAATAATTCTAACAATTAAAAGTATTACATTTTAATAAAACCACCATCATTTAGCATATAATATTAGCTTTCTAAAGATGTATGGTTTGTGTGGGAAATATTTGCTAACAAATAAGTTACAGCCAAAATACTGAGGGAACCCCACTTTTCACAGGTACCTGTACAGATTAACTGGGCACAGGGGACTTTTCTAGGTCACAGCTAAGTGGTCTCTATGGGGTTAACAGTACTATAGAACAATATAGCTGGTTCCCCAAAAAGTTGTACTCAAAAATGGCAAATTTGACAAAAAGTTACGAAACAATAAGATACTTTGAGATTACTAGAGATTACCATAAATTTATACTGATACGTGTTCTCTTACTAGCCCCTTTGATAAATAAAAAAATATCATTATTGACTTCAAATTTCTATGGCTACTTTACACTTTCAATTAATCTTCATAACTTACTAATATCTGTAAACAGTACTGAAATGAATAAGAGACAATTTGCCCTGCTTTCATAGATTGTGACAGTGGTGCATGCTGGACACAATGCAATCACAACCAGTCACAATCTCAGCACATGATAGATTTTTAAGGACATCATCTATAATTGGCAGCAAGCTGGATAAAAACACCAAATTTTGCAGGTGTACATATATAGATATCTTTTGACATACTGAATCATACTAGCCTCCTAACCCTCTTCAGAATAACCCCATTTGGGCAAATAGTTCATGATGGTCACCAATTTATGGCATTATATAAAAAATACATATCTCAGATAATTCTCCATAAAGAAACTTACTTTTGGAACCTTTGCAATTGTCTACCCTATATACCTTTTAATGAATGTGAAAGGTCAAAAAGTCAGGGTTTGAAAGCCAATTGAAAGTCAGATGTCAAAAGTCTATTTGACCAATATAAGACTGGACAGCAAAGCTGGTAAATGTGCAGATAACACACAGCAAAAAGCACTGTAACAATATCTATTTTAAAAAGTAAAATTTTGTCAGGATATTCAACAGTGTTGACTTTCAAACCGGACCTAGCTGCCAGAATCATAAATAGTCATTCAGCAAATTTAAAGTAAAGAAATCGAACATGAGCTGTGGTCTTAGAAAAACCCTCTGAACAATTATCATGGGGGGAAAAAACCTTTTATTAATTTTTTTTATTTAAGATGCTCTGAGGTCACATCAAAATGTGGATCACGAGGATCCCTGGAAAAAAGATCAAGTCAGAAAGATTTTCTATATAAACATTTATACCAAAATACATGACACTTGAAAAAAGGCAAAAAGAAAGTAATCTAAAATTAATGTAAAAATGATCCATTCATACTGATTTTCTAAAGAACCTGCTTTATTAACAAATACAGCCAGTGAGAAAATGTTGTTAAATGGGAGCTCTTTATTTTTTTTAATCTATTTTACTGCTTCAGTGTTTTTTCATGACAAATGCAGAAATGCATATTCTGCATGTAAATATGAGAATTACACAAGGTCAAATTCAAATATCAGTGGATTTAAAGAGTCCACAATAAAAACAATTATAAAGAATGGCAGGGATATTTTTTGCCAAACAGTTAACTATCTGAATCCAGGCCAAATACCAGTAACAGTAACCATATTTGATCAGCATCTATTTGCCTGACTGCAGTGAGTGCAATAGTAATTATTGAGCCTAGTTTCATAATGAAGAGAGGCATTTTAATACTGGGGGGGTTAACATAGAAATTATAATTCAGAAGACCCTTGGTGTCATCAGATGGACAGATTTCATCTTTCTTTGAAGGCCTCACACTGGTTTAGAACATTGTACATGCATCTTGTACTTACTCCAATACAATCTCTCTGCTCAATAAAGTTACCAATGATGAAACTTCCATCAACACTTGCAGAAAAGATATACATAAGAATCTGGCCAACATTCATGTTCTAGGATCAGATCATGAAATACTGAAACCCTCATTCTACTGTGTAGCAGAACCCGCAGGGAGGGAAAATGTCCCTTTCATGTTGTAGCATTGGATCAGGCAGCACCTTTTCTTTACCTTGGCCCATGTTTACTAGGCCAGGTAGGTGTCTGTCCTTAAGTCTCTGCTGTGCAGGACTGGAAAATGCTTCAAACTGTGTGATTTCTGAAACAGCCAATTGTTTTCAGTCATCCCATACAATCAGGCCCATGAGCAGGAGAACAATATGGTAAAAAGATAAGTAGAGGCTAAGCTTTAGATTTGACTGAGAACCCAGCATTTTTCAGATGAACATTGTACAAACAATACTTGAAGTTTCTTTAGACAGTCTCTTCTATGAACACATTTGTATATCTTTCAAGAGGAATTCCTCAGCACTATTCAGAAAGGCCAATAGAAAGATAAATCCTAAGAAAGATCACAAACTTAAATTTGTACAGAAGAAAACATGACCTTATGGTTAATTGCATATCTCAATGCAAAACTTTGATTGTGACTTCTAGGAATTTCCTGTCCATAAGATGGACCAGTCATTTCCTCCTTCACTTTCCTATATGTACTGGTAGTAGTTGTATCTGTTAAAAAGCTCTGAGCCATGTGAATAAGATCAACCATCAACATATGATTGTGAGGTGCTACATGGTGCAACCATTGTCCACAGTCTTCCTGCCAGTGTCACCACATTGGATGATTATGCTGGCAACATTTTCCTACCTTATTTGGATAGGCAACTGAACATAATATGTAGTATAGAACATGTCTTCCTGACTCCCTGAAAGAGTTCACAAGTGAGAAGAAAGCAAGATATGCCAAAAAGAAAGTGAAATGCCCCCCCCCCCCCCCCCTCCGACCTATAAGATAAAACAGAAACTGAATATTCTCTTTTGAAAGATCAAAGATGTAAGGTTGCAAATAGCCTAAATCCAAGGTATTTTTTACTTCAGTGCTGTCAAATCAGGTTACTGTTTTGTTGTGTCTGATTGCAATGTACAGTGAAGAGGCCAACATGCCATGTTATGCTGAGCTGGGTGTTCAGAGATAATTCCTGTATGCCCATTGATCACCACATAGTTGCCATACAGGTGGGTAAGTTTGGCAAGGCAGCCATATTTAATTTTTTTTTTTAATCTCAGAAACTTAATTATACAACAAAACACTCAATCAGCAGGGATCCCGGGCCACCTTAGGATCCAGAAAAATCCTGGAATTCCATGATTTTTTTCTTTTTTTTTTTTTTTTTTTTTTTTTTTTTCAAATGGGTAAATTCTCCAAAGATCGAGCTATTATAACTTCATTTTGATTTAGTATGCCAAAAGATATTTGGTACAATATTCGGTGATTTTATCTGTGAAGGCTTGAGTTTTTTCATTATTCACTTCATGGAATTTAAAACAAGTTTAGGTCCAACTGATAGGAACTATGCAAGTGTACCATGAAAATGTAATTCCCCAAAAAGGTGACTCCTTAGTTAGATTTTTATAATTAAAATCTGACTCCCCAGTCAAAATTTGCCCATGTTACCCACACCTATTAACAAAGATGAATTAAAACAATCTTTTTCAATTTATATTAATTGATTTTTAGGTCTACTTTTATGGCCATCATGCCCTTCCTACTCAGGCAGAGAAAAGGCAAGACATATGTGGATCATGGGAAGCATCATTTGATGGGGAGCAAGCATTCAAGGATGGGGAAAGGAACAGTTTGTTCAGACCTGTATTCAGACCAGTACATCTCTT